AGGCCAATGACAGTGTTCGAAAAAATCGCAATATCGTCAGTGAATAATACACAAAAGGATTCAATGAGGTCAGGAAAAAGTTGAATACCAAGGTGAGGGGACTGTTGTAGTTCAATAGCTGAAGGAGGAAATTTGGAAGGGAGTTAACATACAACCTTGGCGGACACCAACTGGACAGTCAAAATATTCCGTATACTTATTTGATGTTCTAATACACGATCTGACATTAAATTTTAATCTAACATTTTCATAAATGTTGCATAAAATCTTCTAATAGAAAGAGTGCTGTTTTAATCAAATACCATTATAATATTTAATAGTGAATGACTTTTCTACCCACGCACAATTAAAAATATTGGACTTTATTTGTGGTATAGACATTGGGCATATCATTTCCTAGAAAGGCAAAAATTACATTAGAAAGGATTCTGATGTTATATTAAAGCGGAGCGGTCGTAGCCTGAGAACACGCGTAATTGTGTCCCCAAGTGCCGATAAACGCAAAGGTTCATGGTTCGTTTGTTTTTAAGAAACGACTCGCTATGGTCGTCTGCTTCATGCGCTGACGAAGACTGTAAATAAACACATGAGTGAAAGTTTAACTTCAGTATTTCGTAATTTATTGATTACGCATTCAATAACTGTGTTACATATTCATTACATAATCAATCAACGTGCTGTCTCATTTTGGGATAGGGTGTAGGGTACAACATTATTGATATGTCTTGTCTGCACTGTAAAGCCACCATAAAGCCCTCTGAACCCATCGCTGCTAATTGCTATCACTTTCACATCAGTTTCTTCAAGGTCTCGCGTAACTTCGCTTCACTTGCTCCAGAAAATTCATCAATCTGTGAAATAATACTATCCGTAATTAAAATCGTGTACAACAAGATAAGTAGTCAAAAGATGAAATTGAATCTAACACAGATGGGTAAGAAACACAAGACCAAGATACAGCGTTTTATTGCGCATATGTATCTTTCTTATTCACGTAATCTTAATAAATTGGGAACAACAATAGTTTTAAAAACTGATATGATAAATAGATGCACTATGCTCTTCATCAATCGGGTTTCCGTGATCTCACCTTTGTCCCGTTCTTGTAGAATTGAAAAGTTGGCATAGATTTAACACCACACGACTGTGCTGTTTCCTGTAGTGAGAGAAGACCCACATCGATGTCAAATCTGTTGCCGTGAATGATTAGATACACTTTTTGATAGATAAGTGACTTCCAGTTTGTTAATTCACAATTGTAATACTTACCGAGTTCTCATCAACGTCAATGTTTAGGAAGACCACGTTCTGGAATGTTTCTGACATTTCCTGATGAGATGAAAGCATAATATTTTAAAATAATAAAATTATATTTTATTGTGTTAATATTATTATGGAGTAAGTGAATGTAATAATTCGATCATTTTCGCCTTGATGACAAGTTCACACTTTGAGGCACGTGTGGCAGCTGTGATGCTTAAACATGTGAAAAGAATAGGAAATGTTCTTCAACTAATGTTGGTCACACATTGAGAATTATGTACTATCGCAGGGCATAATATTAAAACATCCTTATAAATAGATCGGTTACCGCCTTTTTTATTTTAGATTTATATCTAGTTTCCGACACATGGTTTTATTGTCTTGAGTTTAAGAACGGATCGTTTTTTTTTTCTTTTGTCCCTGGAGTCTAACGTGTTAGCTGCAATCAGTTCAAAGTAATAACATATTTATCTCGAATACTAGTATAAGGTTTGTGACCCCAATTATTTGCATATATGATCTAGTAGACAAATAAGCAATCTGTTCACAAAACTTTATTGATCAAGCTAAGTAAGGTGGTAATACTTAGAGCCTGATTTATATGCTGACATTCCGAGATCGTTAAGAAATGATTTAGTACCTTGAACTTTGGCCCAATCATTTTACATGGTCCACACCACTCAGCTGAGAAATCGACCACAACCAGTTTGTTACCAGCAGCTTTCAGCTCAGCGTCAAATCCTGCCTGAAAATATGAAATAGTTGGTCAGCGAACACTTAAAATATTATAATATAAACCTATACGTGGGATACCGTACGCAGTGGGGTTAATTACGACATAATTTAAAGCTGCTTGTGACGGAAGAACTTTAAAAACTTTGGAAGTCACCAACATTGAGCGTGTTCCAGAATGTTTACACTATTACAAGCTCGATTAAGAAACGTCACGTTGGCGCCTTCAAAGGTGAATGTTGCAATTGAATGATAATATTACATCGGGGGGGTGTTGAGTTTTATATTAATTAATTAATTAAGTAAGTAACATACATTTTGTGTGGGATTTATTACATATTTTAAATTACCTTAAGACAAAGTCATTGACAGGCATTGTTGTTAATTTAAATATGGCACGTTTGAACGTGTTGATTAGATATAAATTGAAGATGCTCTTTTTGACTATAAGCATGTTTGATTGTTCAGTTCGGCTGAGTAGATCTGAGAATTTTACCATTAAATAAAAAACTTTGAAAGCAATGTTTGTAAATAAAAAATATCTTAGAAAGAACTAAAGAAGCTAGTTAACTTTAGATGTAAGGTCACTTTCTCGCGAACACTCTATAACATGGTGGACAATGACACATTCCTTACTGCGACACGCGTCAGTTTGACAGTACTGAATATTGTTTCAAATCATTCTACTTTGCACAATTATTACCTTGTCGGCGATCTTCTTAACCCGTGACATGTCTTTTTTTTCTTGGCACTACTCAGCTACACTCGTAATGTCTCGGACAGGTTGGTACAGCTCGCACTGAAGGTTCAGCAGTTAACGACGGTTGCGATTTAATGCAACGAGTGGATGGTCTGGCGTAGAGCCTCGGACAGGGTGGTACTATATAAGTATTACTTGACAACGCCAGTAATGCAACCATTTGATGTAGGTATGTAGACCCGGATTTGAACCCGCAACGCAACCCCGCAACTAAATATAGAATTTAAATAGACGATTGTTATCGTTTGTTGATAAGTGTAATTGATGATTAACCATAAAGTTCCAGTGTCTAGATTCTTCTGACTTCCGATTCAGGCCTGTCTACTAACGGGGAATAATAATTACATTTTGCTCACGGTCATAATGTGCCTATAACAGTGGCGTAATAAGGGTTAGGTAGGTCGACCACAACCTCAGAGTCCGTAGTTATGTCTGTGTTCAACGATATAATTACATTTAATGGTTAATCCGAACACGGGAGAGAATGTCATTATCAACACACGCCATGATGACGGTTTCGAGGTAGAACGGGCTACGCTTGAAAATAATTTCTACTGAATGCATGTTGTTTACAGACTGTATAGTTCTGGGAGATAACTATTGTTTCGATAATGTCGTTGTGTGTGACATGCAGTACATGCCTCTACCTACCTTGTTCCGGTCCCCTTACAAACACTTGGGTCACTCACGGTCACACAGGGCCTAATACGGGTTAGGCATGTGGAACACACCCTCTGTAGTTATGATTGTGTTCGACGATGTATGCACATATAACACATTCCATGGCGATTCGAACAGTTGGAAAATTGTAATTATTTTTAATAAATGAACGGTTATTGACATAACGATAACTGATCATGTGTAACTGCCATGGTCTAATAAAGTTGAATAAAGAAGAAGGACGAATATTTTGGAAAGGTAGATGAAACTGTAAATGTGAATTGACTGATAGCTGAATGATTCACATCAACAACGGTATGTCCCAATCACACAATTACAGCTAATAGCAGCGACACAACAGCTGACGATACAAGTTCTCGAATGCTGGTAAATCCAGGAAAGTCTACTTCATGGAATCTTAGTGGTGCGAGTTCAGTTTGGTTTAGTCCTACTTAGGATAGTTTGCGCCTAGTATCATGTTGGCCACGGACTACAATTGTCAGCGTTGGACTCACTGCTGTTGGTTCGGTGGTGTAGACCTGCACTTAGACCTGTAGTGTGCGAATTCGGCCTGAGTTAATGTTACATGCACATTATTTGAAATGGTATGCATGTAATTAGCTAATCGTTTTCTTTTCTTCTTACGTGATGAATAAGATGCTGTGTCTATACAACTCCCGCGTGAACCCTTAAAACTTCAAGTTTACGCATTACGGTGTCAAGTTTGAAGAACGATTATCTACTGTTTTAACACTTGATATTTAGGTGATGTTCAAGTTAGATCACTGAACACCAAGTAAATGTGTGAAGGGAAAATATGTGGAATGTACTGATAGACATTTATGACTTATAATTATTGACAAAAAGTCCTAAAATGCACTTCCGGAATCAAAATTACTCTGAGTAGATGTGTTCCACCTAGTAATATATGTCGTCCATATTCCTGAATACACTGTAAAACCGCTCGCTAGAAATTATATGTTGTTTTCTTTAGAACCCGGCATACAAAACACATCATAGAAGTCATTGCATCTTAGACCCTTCATAAACTATGAAAACCGTGCTTCTGAGTGCTCAATTATAATTATGCCCGTCATGATTACGTTTATTTTCAGTACATCAGGATATGTATTTCAGTTGTTTAGCTTTCTGTAATACATCTGTTGGTCATTCAAATGCAATATACTATTAAATTAGGAAACGTATTTTGAAGTAGTAAAAACAAAGTCATGTCAATAGGCTCTTGTGGTGGCGCTCTAATACATGAACAGAAATGGAGACGTGTTCTCTATTCATATTGATCGTTACTCCATATCTACATAACCTTGGCTTTGCTGGGACTGGCTGTTAGATAATGAGAGAAAATATGCATATATTGTATATAACAAGCATTCTTCAGATAGTGTAGTAGTTTGTAGAAACCATATAATTACCACCTTTTATATAACACTACTTATATGCATTTTAACAATACATAATGAAACTAATTATTTCAAGTAATCACAATTCCTTGGCAGTAATAACAAAGATATGGTGCTACAAGTATTCTTGCCCTTCGGTTCATGTCATTATTTATTTTATTTTTAATGCAGAGCCTCAGGACCAGCGTAGACATATAGATATATTTATAGAAATAAAAGGAAAAAAAGTGAAAGACTTATGGAACTGTGTCCGATACTAAATATTCAGACACTGTTATTATAAATAATTTGTAGAAGTTATATATACCAGTCCCAGTACCAGTTATGGTATTCAAGGCCACCGGCCCGTAAAAATATTTACATGTACAAGAAGAATATTTAATTAAAATGTCAATGCATGAAAGATGTTTGCAGCCAGTGGTTGTCAGAATTTTGAGAAGTAACAAGTCCTATAAATTTATCAAAAGATGGGGTATTATAAATTGTATTGTGTAAGTATGAGGTTCACAATTCATGGTAATAAGGGCAAACAAGGAGAAAGTGAAACTCATTTTCAATTTCATCTATGTCACAAAGAGAGCAAATACGTTCGTCTCTCTCAATTACACCATGATCTCTTTCAATGCGAAGGCAGTGAGAAGAACATCGAAACCGTGCAAGAGCTACTACATCTATGGAAATAAATTCCAAAAGATTTTAAGTATTTTTTTCAGCTGCAATGTAACTTTAAATTTCCGATATGTAACCAGTTTGTCTAAGGAAAAAATATCAGTAAGCCACTCAAGATGTATTTCTTAAAACGACATGAAAATACGCTTACAAATTCCTGAATATTGCCAAGGTTTTGTGAATACCAAACATGTTCTAATTTAAACAATAGTTTTCTTATGTCTGCCACCCAGGTAGGTTTCGCCCTCGCCCCCGATGTATCTATGTTAAATAAAATATTGTAGCATTTACGTGGGTATCTGTTACTTGGCATATTGATGATTTTAGCCCAATATTTTATGCATCGTTTTGCGGTGTAAAAGAAAATAGGGTATCTTCCACACTCGCCCAGTACACAATTGTCAGATGATAGTGTGGAAACACCAAGGAAATATCTGCAAGCCAGATATTGAATACGTTCCAGGCACTCATATTTTGTTTAAACCCCCAGACCTCCGAACCATAGATTAAAATAGGTAAAATTATGGAATCAAAAATGTTAAAGAATGAATCATAATTTAAAGGGCCAATTTTTCTAGTATTTTTCATAATAGCCATAAATGCTTTTTTAGCTTGTTGTGCTAAATACTTCTTTGCAGATGTCCACTGTAACCGACATGATAATAAAATTCCCAAATATTTGTAATGTGAAACTACCACCAGATTTGGCTAGGCGACCCCCCGCTTTGAAAACGATTACTTTTGTTTTAGTCCAAGTTCACTGTCATTTTTCATTTATCACAATACCCCTCAAGCTTACGAATTAATCTTTGTAGGCCAATGACAGTGTTCGAAAAAATCGCAATATCGTCAGTGAATAATACACAAAAGGATTCAATGAGGTCAGGAAAAAGTTGAATACCAAGGTGAGGGGACTGTTGTAGTTCAATAGCTGAAGGAGGAAATTTGGAAGGGAGTTAACATACAACCTTGGCGGACACCAACTGGACAGTCAAAATATTCCGTATACTTATTTGATGTTCTAATACACGATCTGACATTAAATTTTAATCTAACATTTTCATAAATGTTGCATAAAATCTTCTAATAGAAAGAGTGCTGTTTTAATCAAATACCATTATAATATTTAATAGTGAATGACTTTTCTACCCACGCACAATTAAAAATATTGGACTTTATTTGTGGTATAGACATTGGGCATATCATTTCCTAGAAAGGCAAAAATTACATTAGAAAGGATTCTGATGTTATATTAAAGCGGAGCGGTCGTAGCCTGAGAACACGCGTAATTGTGTCCCCAAGTGCCGATAAACGCAAAGGTTCATGGTTCGTTTGTTTTTAAGAAACGACTCGCTATGGTCGTCTGCTTCATGCGCTGACGAAGACTGTAAATAAACACATGAGTGAAAGTTTAACTTCAGTATTTCGTAATTTATTGATTACGCATTCAATAACTGTGTTACATATTCATTACATAATCATCAACGTGCTGTCTCATTTTGGGATAGGTGTAGGGTA